TACTAAATGGAATGTAGGTAATACCAATGAAGCAACAAGAATCCTGGAAGTATGAATTCCAGAGAATGGAAAAAATCCTATTATAAAAACATTATCAAAGGAAAGATAGAAACAACCATTAGAATCCTGATATGAAAAAAGATCATAGATAAACAAATAAGATATATTATCAATTATATACTTTTTCCTGTAATTGAATATCTTTTAAATGACATAGTTTTATCAGAAGAGAAGTATAATAGACTGAGTAGCATAATGAACAAGATCTTCAAACATAAAGCAGAACTGGTCTCAACAACTTTAAACTATATTATCCATAACAATCTTGAATATAAGCTCTTCAACTTATGGATTAGATAGATCCTTATAAATGGAAAGAATCTACTCTATAGACTAAACAATCATACCCTAGGAGAATTAATAATACAAATCAGACTTTAGTACATACAAAATGAATATTGGTTCACTATATCAATTTTAACAACAGATTACCTTTCTGGACTAAGAGAAGAAAAAACCTAACAAATGAGATACTAAATATACTGAAACTCTAAGGAATTATATTAGCCCTAGCTGTACATACATAGTTTGGAAAAATAGTCAAAAACAAGGAGAGGACCATCAAAGAGATGGTCTTAGAGGACTGAACAACAAATACAAAAACTCCATCAGGTGTAAAATAATTTTATTCTTTAATCAGTTTTTTAATAATAGCAAGACAAAATTTCTCTTTAGGCAGTAGGTGTGAGCCAGACTGAACAAGCAAGGCAGCACTTCCTTATGGTACAGAGAATTAAAAGAATTATTAACTAAAATAGAAAATCTATAAGAAAAAGACAGAAAAATCAACATTTGTCAGGGAACACAAGGATAATAGCTCAGCTATGAATTATTTTCATTTCAATATACCAGTATATTCTTACCAATAACAGTCAATAATCAGATAGTTGGCAACCAAGAAAGATATAGCTAATGATGTATCCCTAAAGTATTTAGTATATAAAATTTTACAGATCACTTATGTCCCTTTTTGAGGGACAAAATTCATAACTCTTCAATTTAATAGGATAAAAAGTCAAGAAATATTATAAATTAATGATTTGAATAATGGAAAACAATTGTAGGTAGTTTTTTAATAGTTATTAATTTGAAAATTATAATTTTTTCTAGTGAATAATATTTGGCTTTTGTTCTTGCCTCCCTCTTTAAGGACCCATCTTTAGGTATAACAACAGTAATAACAAAGAAAAATAAGATCCTCAATAACCAGTCTATTCTAGTAAACTATATAATTAGAAATAACTAGTCTTTATTAGTTTTAAAGTGCAGAAATTGTCCTTCAATAATCCAGAACTCAAAAATAGTACAAGGATCAGCAATAATACATAATAACACAATTGCTTGTAAAATAAGTAAACATCAAAGTACTAAAGAGTATCAAGGGCTGTATCTCAAAACTGCAGAAAACAGATATAAGGCAATCTCCAATCAATAAACTTCAATTATACATCAAGGCTTATAATAAGTCCCTAAAATATTTAATATATAAATTTACACAGATCACTTATGTTCCTTTTTGAGGGACAAAATTCATGGCTTTTACTTTAATAGGAACAAAAGTTATAAAATGCTATAAATCAATGAATTGAATAATAAAGAACAATTATGGATATTTTTTTGATAATTATTAATTTAAAAATTTTAATATTTACTAGTAAGGACATTTGACTTTTATTTTTACTTCCCTTTTAGAAACCCATTTTTATCCAAGGCATTGAGTACATATTTAGAGAAATCTACAATAAATAATCACCTGATACAACTTCACCAACTATACACTTGAATGCATTGTTGACCACAAAGACTTTGATTCAAAGAAGACTAAGAGTCACCACAAGAACAATATCATGACTATAGCAAATTACATAAGAGATAGCTTTTCAAGACAATTTACAGATATTTATAGATTGCTCATATATCAGGTAATATATCAACAGCAGATAGAAATCAGGTGAGTAATTTAGATAGAATCAAAAACTGAAATCACCATCTTTTGAATAGAAATCGAAGACATTATATCATTTACTAGAGTTGAACTTACAACAATACTTATAGTGATTAGTACAGTAGGTGCAAGAAAGAAAATAAATATCATCACAGATAGTTAATATATAATCAATGGGATAAATAAGGTAGCTAAGATAGGAAAACCAGAAATAAGATAATGAAGAGCCCAAACAGAAGCCTGATAAACACAATTCTGAAAATTATAGACATATAGAGAATTGAGGAAAAATGGACAAAAATTAAAAGTCACTCAAAAAATCTAAGAAACAATTTGGTGGACAGACTAGTAGCAATTACACTAGCAGACAAATCCAGAGACATTATTAGAATATAAAAACTTAGTTCAGCAAGTAATATGATAGTACTTAGATAGAATCAATCCTTTGTGGATCTTCCCTTCAAAATACTTGAGAAAAGCCTCCTCAAAATCAAATGAATAAGTAAATAAAGAGCCCTAAGATAAACACAAGAATGGTTTATAGTTCAAGTTCAGGAAAGTGAACTGGAATATAATTATGTAAACACTAATGACATCCAATATTATATCATCCCAAACTGACCAGAAAGACTATAGAGAGAGATCTTTTTGATAGAATATATGGCTGAATACATATTTCATGCTGGCAAATATGCATATATAAAAATTACACTTATATAAAAATCTTACCTGATCATTTATAAGAGACAAAAAGAAAAAGACCTTCATCCTTTTATGTGTAAATTAAATAAGACAAGACTGATTGAAAAGTATACATTCTTCCTCACAAAAGAATATTCAGCCAGGACCAATGGCAATAAACAAAAATAACCAATATATGATATGTGAAAACAATTCCTTAAATCAAAGGCTCAGGCAGGAAAAATAAAGAGATCCAATAAGGTAAAATAAAAAGATATTATCAGAGGTTTAATCACTAACAAGATGAAACAAGCTGTAGTTAAAATTACAGATAATGGGGAAACAACAGTAATGGCTCTAAAAACAGCAACAGCCAGGTTTTGGTATGAGAAGAAAGAAGTCTGGAAACTGAGATGTAACCTGGTTATAGAATGGAAGAAGTCATAAGGAATTCACAAATAGTCAAGAAGACAAGAACTTATGAAGAAAAGAAAGGTCACAGGACTCCAATAGACAACTATATATAGAGATAACTAATACATTATAAGAGACATCCTGAAGAATTGGTACTTTCTTAACACAATTTACTCTATAAATTTCAGTAATAGTAAGTCATAATACACTAATATTCACTTTCAGGTGAAATGTAGTGAGTCACAGGGTTCAATAAAATTTTAAGTCAGTGGTTTTTTCCCTATCATAAATATATTTTCTCACAATTAAATTTGTGTGCAAAGAAGGTATAAATAATTAAATAAAAAACTATATGGCATGACTTCACCAGCTTAAAAAAATAAAAAATATATTATTATAACATTATATATACTGTATATTCTAGAGTTCATCAAATACAGAAGAGCATTATAATTAATGATACTCTTCAAAAAAGTAAAGTCTTCTAATAACTTGGATGAGCTACAGATTCTTAGTACAGCTATAGAGAAATATTACAGAGCTTATAGCCCAATTACCAAATTGAAAACTATTGTTTTTTTTCTTAAACTGCTGGCTCAACCTTACTTTATTTAGATTAAGTATAGTATATATTGTCGTGGGTCACATGGGTGATGCAATTAACATATAACAGTCTAGAATCCAAAAACTCAAAAGTCTGACATGAAAGATTGAGTGTTGCAAGGTATGAAACTATAGATTGAGACTTGGGTACTGATAAGGGAACTATGTGTGTCTGACAAAATATGGAAAGTTTAGGAAAGTTTAAGGTTAGCATAGCTGATTATAAAGTAGATAATCCATTGTATGTTAGTATAAATAGCTTACCAGTGTAAGCTGCAAAGGCGGTGCTTAATGTGTTAGAAAAACAGTCCTCATTGTAAATAAAGATAAGAATTAGCAATATACAAAAGAAACAGAACACAGATAAAGAGACACCTATCTCAGCCAAGTCAATCACCACATATTTGCCTTCCCTAAGTGTTTTTTACAGGAGGCATTTTCTTCTTTATATTGGTTGTGAGTATTTATGAGTCGTTTAGATTATGCGAGATGCTACAGATTAGTGACGGACTCGCCAGATTAGCCCCAACAATATGAATTTCGGTTTGCTCCGATACTGCCATTTAGAGTTTCATTTACTAGTGAAGTACAGTATGTACAATTTAAACGTTCCCATCTAATATTGTACATCATGTCATAATGGATTGCGAATCGGGATAACCGTGTGGCTTTATTGCGGTATATTATAATATATATATATATTACATAATTTATTATTCTTACACATCTCTATTTTGAGGTATTAATTGTGCGTATTCAATAGAATCCATCTTCAGACCTCTCCCAAAAATGCAAACGAAATTCTTCAAAATATCGTGCACCCAATCAATTCTCCACGACTACCTACCATACACAGTATTTACAGATTCCTAATCAGGTGATTGGATTTTATAAAACAGTGAAATGAGTCAATATCGTGATAAAAAAGGTCATTTAATATGAACTTATTTTATAACTATGAATAAAAACCGAAAATAGTTCTTTACAACGATAATTTAGAGTTAGTATCGTGATCTTTACTGATTCTATTTGCGATACTATTCCAAATTTATTTGTGCATTTACCATTTTTATCCAGAGTTTATACCATTCTATTATGTGACACTCAAAAAATCATTACAACTAACTCGAATTGTCATTAAGCCCAAAATTTTGGTAAGGGGTGGGTAAAAATCGATAATTCCGATTAACGTCACTTACCGGGCTGTCTTCAGTCTGATTATAAAAGAAAATAAATATCCATTGGAAAGTAATTAGGAGATAGATTCAATAAGAAAATAATAGTCAATTCAATAGACATGATAGAAATTAGAAATATATTATTAATAGGCAGTAGTGGTAAAGGAAAATCCACCGTGGCAAATGTTTTAACCGGTACTAATGAATTTTATGAAACTCCAGATCGTATTCGTGGAACCGACAATGCAAAAGCCGAAGAATTTGAGCATGAAGGGATAAAATATCGTGTCACTGATACCATAGGAATTGGAGATCCTATCAGGTCGACAGGAGAAATATTAAGTAAATTAGAAGACAAAGCTGATATTATTAGTGAAGGCTTAAATCAAATATTATTTGTAACTAACAACCGGTTTACTAAGGAGGAAGTTGAAGCATATGAATTACTAAGAAAAGCTATTTTTGATGATCAAGTAGCTGATTATACTACTATTGTCTGCACCAATTTTCCCGAGTTTAAAGAAGAAGAACTCTGTCAAAGGGATCGTCAAAAATTCAGAGAAGAAATCGCTAAACTTTCAATTCCGCTTGCTTTAACTGCGATTATTTATGTGGATAATCCACCATCGAAAGGTCTTTACAAGAGTATATCAAAAATTTCACGAGATGCATCTCGTAAAGTATTGTTAGAATACTTGACAAGCCGTCAAAAAGTTTACCGACCTGAGCTGCTTGCTAAATTCAAGATAATGGTTGATGAGTTCAATTTAATCTTAGAAGATACTAATAAAGCAATCAATAATTTTGATTTTTATAACAATGCAAAATGCTTAAGAGAATTTATTTGTGAACGGGAAAAGATAATCAAAATTATCGAAGCGCGCAGAGAGGAAGTGAAAGAATCTATGAAAGCTCGATTTTCCAATAATACGCTGGGTAATTCCGCTATATTGGGTGGTAAGGCTTTGGCAATTGCAGGGATATGGTTTCACCTTTTTTGGTGCCAGGTGTTGTTTTATCAGCGGGTGGATTGTTGGGCGTTGCTAGTTCCGATTCTGCTGCGATAATCAAGGAAAGTGAAGCATATAAATTATTCGAAGAAACTCTTGAAAAAGACAAGGAAAGACGTGGTGAATTAGAAAAATCACAAGTTGGATTAAGAGAATCTATCAAAGAGCTTGAGAAAATCCACCTTCGCTTTACGAACTCGGAATATAGAAAAAAGAATGTGGATAGAAAAAGGATCGAAATAATTGAGAATGTGCTGAAAAGAATTCTGGGTGAAGAAATTGAAATTGATATGAGCTTGACAAGCGATGAAAAACTGAACATTCTACTGGGTTTAAAATAGCAAGAGCTGTTATGGAAGCTGTTTGTAAAATCGTGCCTTCTCCTTTATCATTTTATTGCATTTATCGAGATCATAAGGAAGTTGAAAGCCGCACTTCTTTGGTTGATATGGAAAAGGTAATTAAAAATTGGGGAGAAGAGTTAGAAGCTTTAAGGGGAAAAGAAAAACTACTTTATGATGAGTATGAAAAAATTAAGTGGTGCAAGGAGGAAATGGCAAAGTTAAATAATGAGCAAAACACAGAGGAAGAGGTTCAAGCTAAACACCAATTAAATGTGGAAAATGCGAATGCTTTATAAGATAGTGAGTAGTAAAACATACAATAAATTCAAACCCAGTAACCGACTTTCTAATTAGTAGCTAGAAAAGTCTATCATTACACCTTCAATTTAAAATATTAAGTATCTTAAAACTTCATACGTATAATCAAGACTACTGGCTTACGTATATCATAACAGTGATTATTATAGAAAAGCTTCCGAAGTTGACATGTACATGCAAGAATAGGATGTAATTTTAAGTCTCTAAATAATAAAGTTGTTCTTTTATGGTTTAACCTGACAATGACCATTATAAATACTGTATAATGTTTTTTATTTTTTGCGTAATACGTATTGTTCTAAAAGGTTTCGTTAAATTTTATATCGTACTCGATATCAAACAATAGAATAATTAAATTTCTTAAAATCCAATGACCATTTTCATTAAAGCAATTTTATAGAAATATCCCTTATACTTTTATAAACTAAGGAATGGAGTTGAATACATAGTACAATATTAAACGGGATAAAAATTATTACATAAATAACAAATTTGTTTAGAAAATTAATACAGAACTTTTAACTAATGTAGAATAGAGAACATAAAAAAAAAAAAGTAAATTGAAAAATAAAAAAAAAAAAACAAATAAATCAAAGATATATTTAAAATTTTTATTGGTTTAAATATCACAAAAATAATATTATATAGTTTTATAATATATAACAATAAGTATCTATAAGCATACTATTAATTAATATCTATGAAACAATAATATAAAAATTTAATATAATATACTCAAATATATAAAGGTATAAACTTTATTATAAAGAATTTATTAATATCAATTCTTTAATTATATTTATATTATTGAAGAATATTTCTAATATAATTTTCTTAAATATAAAAAAATTCATTATACAATAATTATACATAATAATAATAATAATAATAAATTACTTTACAGTTATTAATATTAAGTATATATATTTTTAAACAGATTCAGCCTTACTTTATTTGTATAGACGAGTAATATTATATTGATATTATTTCTATTCTATACTAACTTTTTTATTTAAATAAAGTTTAATAAAGAAGAAAATCTCACATTATGGCTTGTTGCCACCCCTTTGAGTTGGGAATCTAACCTGCCAAATCCTGGCTAGTACTGTATAAATTTCTAAAATATAAAAGATATTTGTCATATTATTTATTTTCTAATATATATATTGATTGATCAAGTTAAATTATTGATTATTTATATATGTTATATTTTTCTTTATATACAGTATACTATAAATCTATTTAAATTTGTTTATTCTTATATAATCTTTCTTTCTTCTTATTAATATCTCATAGTTGTTTCTAGTAGTCATATTAAATTTATTGCAGATATTGTGTAATAGATAGATAGATTCCACTAAGGTATATATAAAAAGCCAGTGTATTTATTATTGTATTTTTAATATTGTAGTACAGTTGTTTAAAAAAGTTTTTTTTTTGATAAAAGTGATAGTTATTTGGTAAAGCAAAGTTTGTTTTATTGCTAAAGTTATTTTCAAATTCAATAGTCTCAGAAATTGTATATATTATTATACTTTTTTAATAACTGTATTTTTTATAAGTTCTTTAGTCTTGAAAAAAAAACTCTTTCTCCTGATTCTCTGACCATAAACAAAAAAGATGTTCGCAAGAGTTTTATACTTTCTTGCTAATAAAGTCTTTATACTTTTATTAAAACAACTTGAAACGTGTCTTCATTTATCTCCCATATCCTCCCTTATTTATTTATAAACTTCTTTGAATAAAAAACTAAGCCTCTAATGATCTAAAAAGACTCAAGTATACACATTCTCTACTAAAGGCAAGAATGTTCTAGGAAGTAAAAGGACTAACAAGTGGAATGTCACCTTATAGAGCTAGAAGTGACAAGAAATAGAGGTTCTGTTGATAGAGGAAGGCTTATTTTCCACCTTTTTACATACTATCTTATATCCTCTTAAAGTACTTACTGGTTTTCAGTTTTCTTGAGAGATTTTGCCTACCTCAATTTGACCCTGAATTTTTGGTAGTACAATGTCACCTGGCATCTGATTGGTTGATATGAAACATATTAGTAGCTGAATATAAGCAAGCTCCTATTGATTACCTCATGTATTCTGATAATGTCATTGGTAATAGAAAAAGAAATCAAGGATATGAACTTCTCCACTTCTTCAAATAAAATTTAAATAAAGCAAAGAAATTATGAGGCTTTTAGAATAGGCATTAAATTTTCTAGGTGATGAAAAGGTGATTATTTGTTCAAGTTGAGACCCTCAAGTTTTTATTATCCTGGTCAGGCAAAGTATATGAAGGAGGTTATTTCCTTATACTGGTCAGTTTGGAAAACCAAAAAGTAGAGGAATGCAAAGTATTGTGCTTCTCTAGGATTAAGAATACATTTTCCTAGACATTATATAATGATACTGCAATTAATATGAATATCAATAAAATTTCTTTAACTAAGCATAACTACTGAAAGATATCAGGAGTTACTCAATAAGACTAAAAAATCATATAAGAACCTGGGGTCTACCATTAGTTATCTTCTTTTGCACAGATGGATACAAAATCAAAACTAAAAGAAAGGAAGCATTAAGCAAGATACTAGATCTGAGTAAGGATAAGTATCTCAGGCAATCATAAGAAAATAATCTTGAGTATAGATAGATAAGTTCACCAGATAGTTAAGAAAAATAATTATATTTCAGAAGGGTTTAACTTCTAATAAGAAGATTGGAGAACATGATGTGCTTTATTTTTTATTTTTTCTTTTTATTTGCATATAGTATAGTTGTGTATTTTTAGATATTTCCCTTCCTTTTATTTTTCCTTTCCCCTTTTGTAGTTTTTTGAATTCAGTTCCTTGGAGGATAATAAGCAGTGATAACCTGCAGGCAATGATGGGTAAGTTAGGAGGATCTTTACTCAAAACTTAGTTCACTGCAAAATATTGTTCCCAAAGTTGCAATTAAAAGCTAAAGCTTTTTTGAGAATTGAAAGCCATTGACAAGTGTATTGATATGAGTTTTTTAGTTTAGCTATAATGCAATTGTTCTATTTATCTAAATCAGTTTTTTTAATGATTAATAAACACATAGTATTGGGCTGATCACAAGTTTAAAAAAAAAAGTTCTTTCATCTTGAATCTAAATTGTTAATATATAAAGAGGTAAATATTTATTTTTCTTTCTTTAAATTTTATGCATTTGTCATTCTTATATAGTTTTGATTACTATATATAGAGTTTAATTTTGATAAACAGTTCACTATTCTATAGATTTAAGTTAAATATTTTACTCTTTTAATCTTCTCAACTGGTATTATACTTGCTTATTTTCATAGATTATAAATATTTATAAATTGTTAACCAATATATTTGATCTATTGTTGTTTTTTAAACTCAAATCTAGTTCTATTGAAAAGATAATATTTTATAAAATATATTATAATTGGAATATTTTTCATAAATTATTTGATTAACACATTTATATTTTTTTTGTTTCACTATAATATGAGTTTGATTTGATTATTAAAAAGAAGAGTAATATCTACACTATTTATATTTGATATTATTCTAGACTTGTTATCAATATTTGTCAATTAGTCTATTATTTTATTATACTTGGTTCCTAAATAACCTTTGACTTTGATTAAGTTGTATAACAATTTGTACTTACTTTTCTCCTGAAATTTAGACTTGATATATATGACTAGATTCTGAACTGCTTCTGAGCATAAATCATAATACAAAAAGATAACTGAAGCATGTTATTAACAAAATTGATCCTATTTATCACAAATAGTATTATAAATAAAAGTTGATAAATAAGAAACTAATTTTTTCTTTTCTATTTTTATTTTTTTATTATTTTTCTTTTATATTATATAAATATCTAGATTGAAATACTATATAACTTTAATATAGATATTTTGAAATCTTTTATACTTAATAGTAACAAATTGTTACAATTATTTATATATACATATATATAACTAGAAACATATCAAATGAAACTCTGTCAAAATGGATCTTAATCAATTTAATATATTTATAACTGTTTTGATCAATCTTGCCACTACTCAAACTACTGCTATTATATTAAAAGTTTTTATCCAAATTCCTATTTAAATGATGTCCTCAATAAAAATGCTTTTGCTTAAATGTTACAATATATAAATATTTTCTTTATTCAAGAAATTGTTAATATTAAGACCTATATCTATTTTACTATAATTGGATCAGGAGCTACTCTATATTAGTATCTTAACTAAATACAAGCTATTCAAGCTATAGGATATAACCATATTTTTGATAATTGGAATACCTTTTCTATACCTTTAAAACTATTTTTTAGTCATCTAATTATCAATAATATCTTTGTCAAAAAATAAAAAGACTGATATATAGATTCTATATAAGAATATATAATGTATTTTCAAAACATCCTATCACTTAAATATCACAATATATAAATATTTTCTTTACTTAAGGAATTGCTGATATCAAGACCTGTATTAATTATACTATTATCAAATTTAAAAGTGCTGCTCTATATTAGTATCTTAACTAAGTATAAGCTACTCAAGCTATAGAACAGAACCATATTTTTGATAATTGAAAAACCTTTTCTGTGTCTTCTAAACTGTTTTTTGGCTATTTAATCACCAACAGTATCTTTGTCAAGAAATAAATAGACTGTGCCAAATAGACTCTATACAAGAATGTAGAATATAATTTCAAAATATTCTAGAATAGATAGATAATATGAGCAAGAAAAATCAAGTCATCTACTTCATAGAAGATTAAAGTTTGATATCAAAAAAGAAATAAGTTATTAGCACTTGCCACTTTTGAAAATGCTTAAAATGCTACTTCTGCTTTGATATTGCTATGTATAATGCTGAAAAATCTGCTGCATTGAGACAAAAGAAGAAATATCAATTGAAATTGTAATAAAAACTTGCTATCCTCACAGAAATCTCAACTAAACAACTA